TGAGCTCTTTAATACGAACGTTATATAGCTGGCTGTATTCGTAGTGGTGCTTGTAGTGAAAGCTATGGTAACAGTGATGGTGGTGATAGAAGTTTTTGCTGAGTATAGAGGTGATGGCGGTTTTTTTAGTACTGGCACTGGTTGTTCGAAGGTTGAATAACGCTATCCACTGAAAAGGTCGGTCTCGGCTAGATACTGCAGTACGTCTTGTTAACACTTAAACCGGTATACGCTGGATAGCAATTTATCTGTTGGATAACTGGACCCTAGTGGTTGTGGCAGTGATGTTTATGGTGGTGCTGCTGGTATTGGTGGTAGTAGTGTTGACAGTGGTGTCTCAGTCTTAGTGCTGGTAATAGTGATGATACAGTGATGGAGTTAGGGGATGTGCTGCTGCTGATAATGGTAGTTATGGTCGTAATACTCTTAACGATTACAAGGGTTGTGTTAATGGCAGCAGTGGTGGGGACCATGGAGATGGTTGTCATGGTGTTGCTTATGTTGATGCTGGTGTAAATGCTGAATTTAGTGGTAGTGACGGTTGTGGTGCTGGTGCTAATGCAAGCGGGGGTAGAAGAAAAGTTTATTGTGGTGAAAGTGCTGGTAACAATGGTGGTGATAGTAGAGGCGCTCTGATGGCGGTGGGGGAAGTCTTAAAAAAAAGGCCGTTTAAGGTGGCGTTGAAAGTAATTATCTCGTTACCTCCTTGCTCCCTCAGGGATGACAAGCATATCGAAATGGCTTACTCGAAAGCTTTCAAAACAGATCTTGGACCAACCTGCTGTGCTTGTTGCTCATGCTGTTGTAACTGCTGCGGGGGAAGAGGAATGGCGGACCTAGGCTGCATGCAGACAGACTGCATATCCTCATGCCTCCAGGGATGTGCCAATTGTTGTCCCTCTTGTATTCCACAGCTCACCAATTTCGGTGTGTCACAGTTCTCGTTCGAGAAACCGTATCGGCAGACATGGTACAACGTGCTGCAGTACACAAAAGGCAATATCCAGTAAGTTAAAAAACTCGCTATGTGAAACTTTCTAACTATCATCTGCACAAACAACCAAATGGACCGATTTTTGTTCCATTTTTACTAGCCGTGTAAGAAGGTGGTTAAGGCAAACTAAAATATCCGAAATAATTTTCGACACTCAGTCAGAAATTGCTGTCCAATAGAGTCTTACATACATACATACACGCATACACGCATACATGCATACATGCATACATGCATACATACATAGCTGTATTTAGAAAAGCAGGTCAGGAATACGCAACTTACTAGCTGATGTGGACCTTCTATAATTATAAATAAATATAAAATCAAATTACTTATCTTAAAAGTCTTCTCGTTTCTTTTGTGATTTTAGCTATCGCTCAGCAGAATGGTGCTTACCGTTGGAACACCTCCATGGTGATAAAACTGGCTCAAGATTACGCAAAAAAGCATAAACAGTATTCCCTGCTACCAATTTATGTAAGACTTGCACATTCTGATGATTTGTATCTGAGCCCTGCAAGCAAGTTTAGACCTGACGGAACCATCAATGATCACAACTGTTACATTGAGGTGAGAAAAAAATCCTTTCTAAGAATTACCATAAAATAAGACAATAGTA